CATATTGTTCTGAGCAAATTTACTGTCAAGGAGCTCTTGAATGTACTAAAGAGAAAAGATACCACCTTAAAAGACAAAAGTGCAGCTGGCCATGACCATGATTCAAAATGCTTTTGAATGTGATATTAATGGAGAATATTGAATATTCCATGGACTGTCAAAAGAAAAAGTGAATATATCTTGGGAAAAGTATAGCTAGAGTCCTTCTTAGAATCAAGGAATGTGGGACTTCTTAATCGCACATACTTTGGTCATTTTATCAGGATGATTCAGTCCTTAAGAAAGGACAGTGTGCTTGAAAAAAATCGAAGGTCAGATAGATTGGACACTGAATGCAGTAGCATACTTGAACCTAGAAGAGATTGGTTATTAGGATGCTATAAGATCAGGCAGGGTTTTACTCTGTTGTGGTAAGGTTCCAAGCAGTTGGAACAGACTTGGTGGCACCAGAAAAGGTAAACTGGTTAATTGAGGATTTTTGTTTTCTTTTTACCTTCTCTCAACTGTGTCTCATGTAGCTTGTTTACTAATTTTTTTTTAATTCTAAAGCTTTTTGTTAATGTAATTTTGTTATTTATAAATAACAATTTTTATTTATTCATTCATTAAAATAAATTATATATTATTTCTTTTGTCTTAGTGGATTGATTGACTCATTTTATCACTTGAGTAGTAATTTTGAGCAACTTTTTATAAGGTCTTGATTTTCTCATTAATTCTTTTACCATTTCAGTGAGTGAAATACTTTTTCTGAGCATTGTACTTGTTTTTGTCAGAAACATAGATTGAATTATGCAAAATGATAGTCAAGCAGGTCTTAACATGAATAGATTTTTTTTCCTCTTTGTTCAGTTACTTTAGGAAATCATGTTGCCAGTGTTAAATTAGAATGTCATTATTTGGATAAATCCTACTTCGATTATACTGTTTTTGCTGTTATGTACCATCAAGTTGGAGCCAACTCATAGCTGACCCTCCAGTAGGTTTTCAAAGGCAGTGGGAAATTGCCCATCCTTCTCCCAGGATTCGAACCTCATGCTTTCAAGATTGCAGTGCAGCTTCTTGCCACTAGGCCACCAGTGCTTCCTATACTATTACTATTTTATAGAATTTGTTTTTGTTACTGTAATTTTCTTCTAATAAGGGAAATTGGCATATATATTTACGTATACATACATATAATGATAAATATATGGTGATATAAATTATGGACAATCTCCTCCCATGTCATTATAGCCTCTTAAAACCCACTGGAGAGTCAGTTGTAGGTTGGTTTTGACTTAATAGTATATAAGAACAAAAACAACATATACTTTTTTTATTTGTTTTTATCTTTGTATTTATGTGTTTAGAATTAAGAATCTTTTTAGTATTATAAAGTCATTAATTAGATATTTTAATAAATATATATAATTGCTTAATAAATCCATAAAATTTGTAATATGTAATTTTGTGGCTTAATTTTATTATTAAACCACCCTAAAACTTATATCCTAGTGCACATTAAACTTTATTACTTGTTGAGTGGATATAGTTTAAAGGTGATGATTTGTATTCTAACATGTATGAAATTTTGTAATGCATTTTGTTCTGCTACAATATATAATTGACTTAGAGTTCTAAATTCTGTCACTATAAGCATATACATAGATAAGTATGCATATACACATATATACACACAATATTGTTGTTGTGGTGATTGCTGTGTGCTATCTTGTCAATTCCAACTCATGTCAATGGTATAGGACAGAATAGACTATTGAGTTTCTAGCAATTTCATCATTGTGGGAGCAGATGGTCAGGTCCTCGCAGGGACTGATTGTTTATCCTACAGGCTGTGCCATCAGAGTTTCTTTCTTTTATCAACATTATAATACTTCTATATGAATTCTTTAACTGCCAAATACAAAATAATCACAACTATGAAAAAATATGTGTACTTTTCTAGGTTAGCTTCAGTATATTAATTCTTACAGTATGTGCTCAAAAACAACAAAATACATGAAAAATAAAAGAACTATGTTAATAATCAAAAAGCCTAGGGCAAAAATCCAAGTGGATAAAAAAAATTTTTAAAATCAGTAAATAATAAATAAATTAATATAATGGGTATAGTAGGCTTAAGTAACAAAGGCCAGTTACTCCTTCAAAGAACTTAATGTGGACAACTATTTACATTTTTTATAAAAATAAGGATATAAATTTTAGGAACAAAGGAAGAATGATACCTCCTCTCACACACAGTTTAAAACTTATATTCACAAATATTTATGTAGGAAGAGCTCTGGTGGCGCAATTGTTTACTGGTCATCTGTTAACTGGAAAGCCAGCAGTTCAGATCCACTAACTAAACTCGGAACTAGAACAGACCTTCAGTAAAACTAAGAATTGGCTTTTTTTTCTGTTGTTATTATGTACTGTTGAATCAGAATCAACTAATAACTGACATTCCAGGAGATTTTCAGAGAGAGTAAATCACATGGAGGAGATTGCCCCTATTTCTCCCACAGAAATAGCTGGTGGATTTGTTCCACGTGCCATTGCATTGGCAGTGCAGCTGCTTACCACTAAGATACCATAGCTCCCAAAAATTGCTTTTAAAAAAAATGACTTCTCACACTACAGAGAAATTAAATACACTAAATTAAATATACTACAGAGAATGCTAAATACACTGAATTCATGGAAAAAATGATATGCTATATTGCTTTACTTTACAGTCTATATTTGAGACTATACCAGATCTGTCCGTTCATCCCAATGGATTATCAGTTCCTGGAGAGAAGCCAGCTCAAAATGCAGTGAGTGGTGAGTGAGCCCACCTCTGACTGAACGTATGTCTGACTAAGCATACTGTGTCTTCTCTTTTTCACTGTGGCACACAGTGCAGTTAACATTAATTTTATGAGGGTAAAATATGAATTGTATACTTTTCTTCCTCTTCTGAATCTGTCACTTCCAACACTATCTTCTCTCATTCTCCCAGAGTTTCCTTATTCTGTCATGCACAGATACATAAATAAATTGAGTCAAATAAGTAGAATCTTCTCTTCCATAACTCCCACCGCATCACTTAGACACCACTCATTCAGGTGACAGCATCTCTGATTGGGGCATCTTTCCTAAGTAACCTAAATCTACTAAAAGTAAGCCAGGAAGTAGGCCACATTCAAGCATCTCTAATCCTTGCCCAAATATATGCAGCACTTGAGCCATTTGTAACATCCTGAGTTACAGGGTGAATTTCTTTGACTGGTCCTTCTCTACTTGGAAAATGGTGTTTATGAGCTCTCTAGATAGGTTCAGCGGGAATCTCAAGCCCACCTAATTAAAAGCAGACCTGGTCAGGAAATAGTTTTTGTCATTCCTGGAACACTCTCTCACTACTTCTGTTCTGGAACCAAATCATAACTGAGTCTCCAGTGGGTTTTTGTAGGCTGGAAATCACACTGGAGTAGACTTCCCAGTAGATTTTGTTGCCCTCAATATGTGTATCCTTCTCATGAACAACAGAACCCACACTTCACACATCAAGGAATTTAGGGTGATGGAAATGTTCTAAAATCATTGTGATCTTGGTTGCATAATTTTGTGAATATTCTGAGGAACATTGCATGGAAATGGAAAAATCATATGGTATATGGTATATTAATTACATATGAATAAAACTTTTTTGTAAAACTCGTCTATGAAGAGTATGTATGGGAGAAGACTTTGTCATTGGTTATGCCACACTTTTCTATTGGCCACTGTGCTATTGTTTAAAGCAAATCCTTATACCACTCACTGTGAGATAGAATTCTACATGCTGAGACCTGGTAATTTTGAGCTTCAGTCGGTTCTCCCAAGACTATCTGTCCTTACATCCTTAAGAAGTTAAAGCATTATTTATTGCTTGTCTTCCCCTATGTTGTTGTTGTTGTTATGTGCTGTCGAGTCACTTGCGTCTCATAGCGACCCTATGTACAACAGCCCAAACCCTGCTCTATCCTGTGGCAATTGCACGGCCTCTGACACACCCATCCTGACTACCCCAGTCACTGAATCAGTCCACCTCATAGAGGGTCTTCCCCTCCTGCGCTGTCCCTCCACCCTCCCAAGCATGATGTCCCTCTCTAAGGACCTGTCTCTCCTTACAACATGTCCTAAGTATGTCGGACGAAGCCTCAGAATCCTTGCCTCCAAGGAGTAGCCTGGTGGGAAGAGTGAAAATTACAGTCCTCCCATTTCATTTTCTAAGTTCTTGTTGTACCTATTAAATGATCCAGGAAGTATCAAGAGAAGATGGAAGGAATACACAGAGTCACTGTATCAGAAGGAATTGGCTGACACAGAAGAATTTCATGAAATGACATATGAGCAAGAGCCTATGGTGATGAAAGAGGAAGTTCAAATTGCTCTGAAGGAATTGGAAAAAAACAAGGCTCCAGGAGTTGGCGGCATACCAATTGACATATTTCAACAAACAGACACTGGCCTGGATGTGCTCACTAAGTTGTGCCAAGAAATCGGGAGAACAGCCAGCTGGCCCACTGGCTGGAAAAGATAGATATTTGTTCCCATCCCAAAGAAAGGTGACCCAACAGAGTGTGGAAATTATCGAACAATATCATTGATATCACATACAAGCAAGATTCTGCTGAAAATGATACAAAAACGTTTGGAACAATATGTCTACAGAGAACTGCCAGATGTGCAGGCTGGATTTAGAAGAGGTCGTGGTACTAGGGATATTATAGCTAATGTTAGATGGATCTTAGCAGAAAGCAAAGAATACCAGAAGAATGTCTATCTGTGCTTCATTGACTATGCAAAGGCTTTTGACTGTGTGGATCACAATAAGCTGTGGCTGACTCTGAGAAGAATGGGAATCCCAGAACATTTGATTGTGCTAATGTGAAACTTATACTCGGACCAAGAGGCAGTTGTCAGAACAGAGCAAGGAGACACTACATGGTTCAAAATCAAGAAGGGGGTTCGTCAGGGATGTATTCTGTCTCCATATATTTTCAATCTGTATACAGAACAGATCTTCCAAGACGCTGGTCTGTATGAGGAGTAATGTGGCATCAGGATTGGTGGAAGAATCCTCAACAACTTGCGTTATGCAGATGACACAACTCTGCTTGCTGAAACTAAGGAGGACCTGAAGTGCTTGCTGCGGAGGATCAAGGACTACAGCCTCCTATATAGACAACATCAAGAAAACAAAGATTCTAACCACTGGGCCAAATTGGCAGCATTGGTATGGATGGTGGAGAGATTGAGATAGTTAACAGTTTTAGTTTACTTGGCTCCATAATCAACACTCTTGGTAACAGCAGCCAGGAAATCAAGAGACAAATTGCATTGGGAAAGTCGGCTGTGAGGGACCTCTCAAGAGTACTGAAGAGCAACGATGTCAGACTGGAGACTAAGGTGCGCCTGATCCAGGCTATAGTCTTCGCAATTATGTGCTATGCATCAGAGAGTTGGACAGTGAATAGGGAAGATAGAAAGAGAATTGATGCCTTTGAGCTGTGGTGCTGGAGAAGAGTGTTGAATATACCATGGACTGCTAGGAGAACAAACAAGTTTGTCCTGGAGAGGGTGAAGCCAGAGTGTTCCCTGGAGTCAAGGATTCTGAAGCTTCGTCTGACATATTTTGGGCATGTTGCAAGGAGGGACTGGTGCTTGGAGAGGGACATCATGTTTGGCAGAGTGGAGGAGCGGCAAAGGAGAGGAAGACCTTTGATGAGATGGATCGATTCTGTGACTAGAGAGGTGGGAATAAGTGCGTTTGAGATGGGTAGGTTGGCACAGGAGCGAAGAGCGTATAGCGCTCTTGTACATAGGGTCGCTATGAGTCGCAAGCGACTCGATGGCACATAACAACAACAACACCTATTTATGTGTTTTGATTGGAACCTACTATTTAGGATTTTAAAATCTGTTGACATACAGGTTTCTTTATTTTTTAAAGTTAGGCTAATTAGGTCTCCTGTTATTTCTGCCACTCCCTTCTCCCCTTTTTTGTCCCATTGAATTGTTCTTTGGCCTACAGAAGAGAACAGAAGATAATTATATGACATTTTTATCAAATAATTCTTTATATTACATTTTAACAATATTGTAAGGCAATAAACAATGTTATTGTTATGTGCCATCAACTCAAAGCTGATCCTCTGGTGGCTTTCAGAGGCTGTAAATTACATGGGAGGAGATTGCCCATCTTTCTCCCATGGAGCAGCTGGTAAATTCAAACCACATGCCTTTGGGTTGGCTGCATAACTCCTTATCACTAAGCCACCAGGGCTCCAATGAAACAATAAGAAAGCTAAATTGTGAATCACAAATCAGAGTTTAGAATTGTTCAAATTGCTTCTGAATTTACTTGTTTTTACTAAAGCAATCTAATTTTTTAGTGTTCATATTCCTTTGAAGAAAAACATTTGTATGGAGCATTCCGTACTTTCTTAATATCAAGAAGTTGATACGCTATCACTGAAGTTCATTGCTGTTTAATTGATCCAGACTGAGAACAACCCTCCAGGACAGAGTAGAAGTCCCCTGAGGAGTATCCAGGATTGTCATCTTTATGAAGCAGATCTTTGTGTCTTCTCCAGTGAAGCATTACTTTATTGTCTTAAGGGCATCCCTAGGGATCTGATGCTTTTCCAGGGATGGAAACACCCTCAGATGCTTGCAGTTTCACTGGAACATGGCTTTTTATTTTTATTCTTTTGCTTATTCGCAATGTATTATGCCGGTTGATTGAATGATTTCTTAAATATTGTCTATCTTTTGTTACTTCAGATGATCATTATCTAGAAAAGAACACTCCATCAGAAGCTGAAGAACTGTCTTTTGAAATATCCTATTCAGAAATGGTTACAGAAGCTCCAAAAACAAATAAATTAAAAAAATCAGTGATTAAGAAAGAAGATTTTACTTTGACTGTAAGTAAAACTTGTCATTATTATTCTAGTAACTTCTCCAAGGCCAAAACTGTGAGTTACGCACTTGTTTATTCTCTGTGTGTCCACCAAAGGCTATTATGGGACAGAGTATCAAAAGGCAGGGTAATAAGGTTTTACATAACACGGGAGCAGGGGTGGTACCATCTGTTGTGCAGTGCACAGCCTGCTTGACCATACATGGCAGCCCAGCCTGGGTGAGATAGTATATCAATGACCACTTTCTTGCACAGTAGTGATTTTCACATATTCTAAAACTTACACTAAGATTACCTTTCTATGGCATAGCATGCTCTTTTGAGATGTTTTGAAAATAGTTATGTTTTGCTATAGTAGCTTTAGAATAAATAAATGTCCAGGAGACATTTTAATTACAGTATAATTATCCTTTGCCATGAAGAGTAAACAAATATTCACTGTGTCTATTTTAGAAATTTATTGTTAAGAAAACTAGATTAGGATTAACGGAAGCAGGAGACTTATCTGCTGAGGACATGAAGAAAGTCCGCCGTCTCTCTCTAATTGAATTAACTGCCTTTTTTGACGCCTTTGGTATTCCCCTGAAAAGATACAAGACAGAAAAAGTCAAAGGGAGAGGTAAGCCAGAAGACTTTTAACATTTAGAAAAACTGTAAGAAGGCAGTGTTTTTCTCATTTTCTCTTATTTCTCTTTTTATTAATAAAGACAATGGCATTTTTGGAGTTCCGCTCACAGTCCTGTTGGACAATGATCGAAAAAAGGACTCTGGAGTCAAAGTGCCCCTGGTGTTACAAAAAGTGAGTAGAATATGTAGAATACAGAAAAGGGAGGAATTGATGGAACAGTTGGTAGATTTAAACTGCTTGCCTTTGAGTTGGCAGTACAATTCCTTATGATTAGTCCACCAGAACTCCTGGTACATATTTATCTATGTAGATAGAGATAGAGATGTATTGATATGCAGAAGGAGGATGGGCAATCTCTTCTCATCTAATTAGGTTAACTGCCTCTGAAAACCTGCTGGAGGGTCAGCTATGGATCAGTTCCAACTCTATGGTACACAATAACTATGTAACTATATATATAATAAATATAGACACACACACACACACACACACACACACACACACACACACACACACACTATGGTGTCAGAACCAACTCATAACTGACCCTACAGCAAATTTTCAGTGGCTGTGAATCACATAAAAGGAGATAGTCATCATTCTCCCTTGGAGATGGAAACCTCATGTCTTTGTTGACAATGCAACTCCTTACTAATAGACCACTGCTGTTGTTGTTGTTGCTCTTGATTACCATTGAGTCAAGCATGACTCATAGTGACCCAATGTACAAAAGACCTGAAGCCTTTTTATAACTATCATCATTTCATAAAGATCATACTGTATCCAGAGGCATATTGTTTAGGAAATGGATACCACTCCTGCTTCCAAACTAGATCACTAGAAGGGGTGTGTGTGTGTGTGTGTGTGTGTGTACGCACACACGCTCACGTGAGCTTATTCCTTATTCTCTGTGATAAAATATGATCTTTTTAAATTCACAATGTATTTACTTATCATGAAAATAGTTACTGAGATGTATATTGACTTGGGTGATTTTAAAATGCATTTCTACCTGTTCATATAATTTTACAAAAAGAGGTTAATAAAGTCTAATAACAGTTTTTTCTGGTAAGTTTTTAGGCAAGACTGAAAAATAAGCTTCATGTAGCCAAAGAGGAATTCTGGTTGAAGAAAATTTTGAAAACTCAAACAATGATCATTACTGAATAGCTGATTTGATTCTAAGTCCTGTTTTTTACAAACAATGATTTACATTGACATATTCAAGTATGTATTTATTCAGCAGTGATGTCCAGGGACACAATTAAAATTCAAGCTCTAACTTGCCTTGTGGTGTTGTTGTTGTTAAGTGCTGTTGAGTAATAGACAACTCATTGTGACCCTATGAATGAAAGACCTGAACACTTGTATAACTTTCATCATTTCTCCAACTTTATAGAGTTTCCAGAGGCAAGCTGTTTCAGAAGTGGATATCATTCCTGCTTCCAAGCTTGTTTTAATAGGGGAGCTCCACTAAACCCTGTCCACCATGGGTAACCATTATTGCATTTGACACCTCAGTGTCACAGTGTTTAGCATCACAGCAACCACGAGTTACCTCTGTACAGCAAATGGGTAGACCAGTGCTATGACACTTAGAACAGTGTTTGACCAAAAATAATTAAAACTAGGCCTGAGGGCCACAGATAACTTGCCTTACTCTATTTTAAAATTAATTTTTTGGAATGATGTATAAAATATTTTCTGAGGAAATATACACTTCCAATTTGCACAAAAAAATCTCTATCTCCTTTCCATCTCTCTGTATTCCATATACTAATGCCTCGAATTGAGCGATTACTCAAATTAATGACAGCTTGACTTAAGGTGGGAGCAAGGAAGATGGCAACCAACAATGCTGGTGATGGCCTCTGGGTACAAGTACCCCCTGGCCTGCACTTCTGCCACTAAATGTCCTAAGTAGTCAGCACAAAGCAGCTTGGGAAGGCAGTATTTACCTTTCCCCTCTAATCATTGAAGCAACTGAGACACAGGAGAGAGAGGTAACTTACACAGTACCTAGCCAGCAAAAGATGCTTTGAACCCAAGAGTACAGTATGTATCTGAACCCAAAGTCATCCTGTCTTGAATTTTTTTATACTTAATTCAATTAAATCCCAAATTATACCCTCAATTCCTTATATCAAGGGTTGGGACAACACTAAAACTATTGGTTATTTCTACAATTGGGGAAATATCTTTCATCTTCTCTTTTCCGTAAAATGCTTGTCTGTCAGATAGTGTTCTAAGTCTGAGCATTAAGATTAAGAAAGACTATGAAAAAGGATTGGCCATCGACTTTCTAAATAACGGAACTTCAAAAATCCTGTGTACTATAGAACACACTTAGACTAGCAGATAGGGCAACTGAGGTGGAACCCTCAAGTATGGAAACAGAAAGAAGGAGGAACAGAAGCAGACGAGACACTAGTGTTTGGAACATGGAATGTGAAATCTATGAATGTAAGAAAATGAGATATTATTAAGGAAGAAATGAAATGCATAAAATATTGACATACTAGGCATTGGTAAGATGAGGTGGACTGGCATGGGCATTTTGAGTCAAATAATCTACTATACTGGTGATGAAAAGGCGAGGGAAACTGGGGTTGCTTTTATAGTTAAAAAAGTCACTTCTAGATCCATCATGAAATATTATATTGTGAGTGACAGGATAATATCCATACACATACAAGGAAGTCCAGTGAATACCAATATCATTCAGATATAAATGCCAATAACCATAGTGAAAGAAGAGGAAATAGAAGATTTCAACCAACTTTTGCAGTCAAAGATTGATTGAACATGCAATCAAGATGTGTTAATCATAATGGGTGACTGAAGTGCAAAAGTTGATAACAGAGAAGAAGCATCAGTAGTTGGAAAACATGGACTTGGTGACAGAAATGAAGCTGAAAATAGAATGATAAAATTTTGCATAATCAATTATTTATTCATTGCAGATACATTTTACAAGAAACATACATGCAGGCTATACACATGGATTTCACCTGATGGTATGCATAGGAATCAGATTGGAAAGAACCACTAGAACAGGTCAATATCAGTGGTGTAAACTAGGCCAGGTGCTGATTGTGGAACAGACCACCAACTACTCATATGAAGGTTCAAGCTGAAGCTGGGGAAAATGAAATAAAGTGCATGATAACTGAACTATGACCTTGAGTCTATCCCACCTGAATTTCAAAACCATCTCAGGAACAGGGTTGAGACATTGAACGCTAATGAGAGAAGACCAGATGAGCTGTGGGAGGATATCAAGAATATCAGGTGATCATTACAAAGACAGAGGACAAAGAAAAGACCAAGATGGATGTTAGAAGAGACTCTGAATATTGCACTAGAGCGCCAAGAAGCCAAAGCAAAGGGAAGAAATCAAGACATTAAAGAGCTGAACAGAAGGCTTCAAGGGGCAAGACAAAGTAAAATATTATAATGAAATAAGAGCTGGAGTCAGAAAATCAAAAGGGCAGAACTCTGCATTTTTTTTTTAATTTCCATTCATTCATTGTTGCACTTTTCTTCCCTCCCAACCCTCCCCCTGCAGTACACCACCCTCTTGTAAAAGTAAAACAAAAATTCTTTCATTGTTTTACACACCCTCCCCCAGGTCCACTCCACCATGTAGCCTTCGCTCTAGACACCTGTCATAACAAAAATACCTAATCACATATCCCTTTTAAACAGCTTTCTCCCTCATCTGTTTCAATGCAGTATACACTATTGAACCCATCTTTCTCAGTCTCTCCCCAACCCCAAGGTCAGTCCTGTTTTACAACAGTGGCACCATGAAGTATTTGTCCTTCTATGACTGAGATACTTCACTCAGCATAATGTCCTTCAGGGTCACCCACCTTGAATATTATTGCATGAGTTCCTTATTTTTCAATGCAGTGTAGTATTCCATTGTGTAAATATTCCACAGCTTCTCTATCCATTCATTTGTTGATGGGCACTTAGGTTGTTTACAAGTCTTTGCTATTGTGAACAAAGCTGCAACAAACATGGGTGTGCATATACCTGCTTCGATGTCAGTTATGGTCTCTTTGGGGTATATTCCCAGTAGTGGAATTACTGGGTTAAATGGTATCTCTATTTGCAACTTTTTGAGAAAGCAACATACCGCCTTCCACAGTGGTTGCACCACTCAGCATTTCTTAAACTTAAGAAACTGAAGGACAAATTCAAGCCTTGAGTTGCAATACTTGAGGATGCTTTGGGCAGAGTATTAATTGATCCAGGGAGCATTAAAAGAAGATGGAAAGAATATACAGAGTCAATGTACCAAAATGAATTGGCGAACACAGAAGAGTTTCGTTAAACGTATGAGCAAGAGCCTGGAAGAAGTTCAAGGAAGAAGTTCAAGCTACTCTGAAGGAATTGGCAAAAAAATAAGGTCCCAGGAATTGATGGTATTACTAACTGATATATTTCAACAAACAGATGCTGCCCAAGATGTGCTCACCAAGTTGTGTCAAGAAATCTGGAGGACAACCACCTGGCCAACTGACTGGAACAGGTTCATATTTGTTCCCATTCCAAAGAAAGGTGAACTGAGTGTGGAAATTATCGAACAATATCATCCATATCACATGCATGCAAGAGTCTGCTGAAAATTATCCAATAATGACTGGAACAGCACATCAAAAGAGAACTGGGGATATTGTAACTCATTTTAAATAGATCTTGGCTGAAAGCAGGTAGTACCAGCAGAATGTCTATCTCAGTCTGTGTTTAATTTACTATGCAAAAGCATTTGATTGTGTGAACCACAGCAAAGTGTGGCTAACTCTAAGAATAAATGGCCCAGAACACTTGGTCTTGCTTATGTGAGACCTATGCTTGGACCAGGAGGCAGTCATCAGCACAGACCAAGAAAACACTGAATGGTTCAAAATTGGGGTGAGTGCATTCCAGGGATGTGTCCTATCTCCATAACTTTTCCATTTATATGCAGAACAGATTATCTAGGAGGCTGGGCTGTATGTGGAGAAATGTGACATCAGGATTGGAGGAAGACTCATCAACAATCTGTGTTATGCAGATGACACAACTTTGCTTGCTGAAACTAAGGAGTACGTGAAATACTTGCTGCAGAAGGTCAAGGACTGCAGTCTTCAATATGGATTAACATCAAGTAAACAAACATTCTCACCATTGGGCCAATTGGCAGAATCATGATAGATGGTAAAGAGAGTGAGATTGTTCACAGCTTTAGTTTTCTTGGCTCCACAATCAACAATTTTGGCATCAACAGCCAGGAAATTAAAAGACTAATTGCATTGGTCAAGTCTGCTGTCAGAGACCTCTCCAAAGTACTGAAGAGCAGTTATGTCATTCTGGAATCTAAGGTGTACCTGATACAGGCCATAGTCTTTGCAATCACTTGATTGAGAGCTGGACAATGACTAGACGTGATAGGAGAATTGATACCTTTGAGTTGTGGTGTTGGAGAAGAGTATTGACTATACCATGGACTGCTAGAACAAATATGTTCATCCTGGAAAGGGTGAAACTGTGCTGCTTCTTGGAGGCAAGGATTCTGATGCTTTGTCTGACATACTTTGGACATGTTGCAAGGTGGGACCAGTCCTTGGAGAGGGACATCATACTTGGGAGGGTGGAAGGACAGCACAAGAGAGGAAGACCCTTGATGAGATGGATTGATTCAGTGACTGGGGTAATGGAGGTAAGTGTGTCAGAGACAATCAAATTGGCACAGGATAGAGCAGGATTTAGGGCTGTTATACATAGGGTTGCTATGACTTGCAGGTGACTCGACAGCACATAACAACAACAACATTCCTTATACAAAATGTCCTCTGATGGTATAGTCCTTAGTGAGTGTTCAATGCTAACTGCAAGGCTATGCATCACCATGGGTTCAAGTCCACGAATGGCCCCACGGAAGAAAGTTAGGAAATCCCCTCCCCTTTTGCTTTACAGCCTCAGAAACCTAATGGAGGGTTGGCTATGAATTAACACTGATTCAGTGGCAGGAAGTGATTCTCTGTGTTAAAGAGAGTTTGAAGAAAATGTATAAAATGTTACATTCAGAGATTCAAGAGAGGAATTTATGTTATTTTTTAAAAAACCAACCCAAACAAATTATCCTCCAGCAGGTTTTTGGAAGCTGCAAATCACATGGGCTTTCAAAAACCCATTGTTTCAGAAGTGGATGGCTAATCCTTGTTCCTGTTCTGTCTTAATCTAGAAGCTCAGCCTCTCTATCATGGGTGACCCTTCTGGTACCTGAGACTGATGCCACAAATCACAGCATTTGAAGATACCACAAGCTACACCAGTACAGCAGACTGGCAGACAAGTGCTGTACTAACAGGAGCAAATAATAATAACCAAACCACATCGGTTGTCATGTTGTTGTTTTTTGCTGTTGAGTCACCTGTGACTCTAAGTAATATGCAACATGCCAGTAACCGAACAAATAGGTGTTGTACCTCAAAAAAGCAACCCGTAAAGGCAAGTTGTGGTGCTAGTGAAAAGTGCTGCATATTCCATAGATTGACAAAAGAACAAGCAGATATGTCTTAGATAATGTACAGCCAGAGGGCTGCCTAGAGGCTAAGATGGCAAAGTTTCGTCTTTCATACCTTGGGCATGCAGCTAGAGGAGGCTATTCCTTGGAAAGGGACATCATACTTGAAAGATGGGAAGTCAGCAAGAAAGGAAGACCTCCATGAGGTGAACTGACATGGCGACTTCATCAGTGGTCCCTAGTGTGTTAGAGATGGTACGGATGGTGCAGGAGAGGGCAGAGGTCAAGTCAGTTGTTCATAGTGTTGCTATGAATCATACTCATCGACAGCCCCTAACAACAACAAATCATACAGGAGAAAGTTCCCCGTCTTTATCCCACAGAGCTGCTGGTGAATTCAGACTACCAAGAACTCTACAATTCTTTCTGGACTACCCCATCAGAGTTCTTTATGTTAGTTTGTTATTGATGTACCGAATGTGGAAACTACAGAACAATTTCACTGATTTCACATGCAAGCAAGATTTTACTGAAGATTATCCAAAAACGACTGGAACAGCACATCAACAG